TAAAGGTAGACAGTTGCATGTCACCCTTCCCACACCAGGTCTTCCTTGTATACTATGACACCCGATGCTCTGTGTCAGCCAAGTTAGCTCAGAAGAGCACCTTAGATCATAATGTCAAATTTGTAAACATAACAAACCAACAGAAATGCTGTGCTATTGAAACTTGTTCCACCTGAAAGATGAACCATTTCACTTCAGGTTGCAGCTGATTATTAAATGTTTATGTCATCGATCTAACATTTTTTTTGTGTAGTGTCACTTGGGCTTTTTGGTCTTGTTTAATTGATTTGTACCTGCTGTTCAGGGTATAGAGGGATGCCTGGAACACGTGGACTACCTGGACCACCTGGACCACCTGGAGCACCTGGAGCACCTGGAGCACCTGGAGCACCTGGAGCACCTGGACCACCTGGACCACCTGGACCACCTGGACCACCTGGACCACCTGGACCACCTGGACCACCTGGAGCACCTGGAGCACCTGGAGCCCCTGGGAGCGTTGGTATGTGTGAAAACTGTGATTTCTTTCTTTTTAAGAGAATATATTAACAGAAAAATGTAAGTACGTTTTAAAAGTAAACAATAACAATTCAGCATGCAAGTAGTTCAACTATTTTAGAAATATTTTTTGTAAGAACTTGTTCGCTTTCTGCACAAGGAAAAGGACGTTAGATTTGGACACCTTTTTGTTTTACTCTCAGTTTAGGGCATTTAAAAGCTTGATCTTACTTTTCTCCGAATGAATACAGTATGTTGGAGAGAGATATATCCAAACCCAAGTCCATATGGAAACTAGATGTCATGTGTCCGTTATGTTTGCCCCTTGGATTTTGAGGTATATACAACTTAAAAAAGATTAAGATCTTTATTATAATTACAAAGGAAGGGTTAGGGCAGAAATAATTATTCATAAATGAGTTATCATCAAATTTCACAAGTCATCATTATCTAAAATCAGATGTAAACTACACATTTTAACACAAAACCCCTTTAAATAAGCACGGATGTGAATCAATATAACTTGAATTAAAGGAATTTATTCATAGTGCTTGTATTTATTGCAATGGATTGTAAACTGGTTTGCATTATATTGTAAGGTGTACAGTATTAAAGGAAACAATACGACTTTTTTTTGTAGAGATTGCACATCATTTAGCACAAATGTATTGCAACTTTGGTAACTGAAGTTATTCCTCTTTATCCAGAAAACGTTGGTTCCCTTATCGAGGACGATGGCACGTTAAAGAAGAGCATTGCTAAGTTAGACTTGGGTAAGATTCCTATTCAAGGACTACGAGGTTGTGAGTGAGTGTGGATCATGATTATTACAGCTCTGATTTGCAAGAATTCACAGATGTTGTGTGTGTTAACTTTGTACCATTACCTCAGAACATTCGAAGTATGTGGCCCTTCTTCTATGTAAGGGTGTTCACGAAAGGAGCAATGAGCAAGAAATTGTGCTCTATTGGGTAACACTCATCTCATTAAGCTGAGGACACCTGTGCAATAATCATGCTGTCTAATTATCATCTTGATATGCCACACATGTGAGGTGGGATGGATTATCTCGGCTCACTATCACAGATTTTTTCAGATTTGTGAACAATATTTGAGAGAAATGGTTATTTTGTGTATATAGAAAATGTTTTAGATCTTTGAGTTCATCTCATGAAAAATGGGAGCAAAAACAAAAGTGATTTATATTTTTGTTCAGTGTATCTTATCACTACACTATGTCATTATTGGGTTAAAAAAAGAGGGAGGATCTTGGGCTGATAAACATCCTCTATTCTAAGAAAAATCCCAAACTTTGCATCTGTTGTTACATCAGACCAGATCACTCATACATGAACATTTTTCTTTGGAAGTAGAGAGGAAGCAGCACACAGCAGATCACTCTCATTTATACGGTGAGTTCTTCTCTGCTTATCACTATTTATTACTTGATTGTGTTATTAAGTCCTTTTAAATAACTTTTCATTGAATATAATGTTTCAGTTCTACACTGAGAAGATCAAGATGTGGCCCCTATTCTGCGTTTTCTGCCTGCTTAATTTTATTGGCAGCAATATTATTAATGGGCAGACAGCATGTTGTGGGCCACCCGGTCGTCCTGGGACACCTGGGACACCTGGGACAGCTGGGCCACCTGGGAGCCCTGGATCTGGCCCACCTGGTGTCTCTGGGAAACCTGGGACACCTGGGGAACCTGGTGCTGGTCAAAAAGGTGGGTATTTTCAATTTCTGAAGAGTTTTATTTCTGACCAAACTAAGACCATGCTTTTTGTCTGAATTTTGGCACATTGCCACGGGCAGTACGAGAAAAATAAATGCCTTTTTGAACATTAAAGCATGTAAATGTGTCCGAGTAGAAGCACAACATACAAATGTGACCTGGAAAGTATCATAACATGTCCTCTTTAAGGCCTACATCTATTGTGCTTGAATGGTTGGAATGCCTTTGATCGATATTGAGCTTGCTTCCCCCTAACTCCTGACCCATTAAGGTGTCCCCTAAATTCTCACTGTTGTGCCTCTCGTGCCAAGATGTTGAATTAAACACTTCATAATGTATTCATTATTAATTAACTAATAAGAAACATTGAGCATTCCCTGAGAAGGAGAATTGAGGTGTTTTGTTCTCGCTCTACAGGAAGTGTGGGTCCTACAGGAGATCGTGGACCAGATGGAAGACCTGGACTACCTGGAGTTTGCCAGTGTAAGATATTTTACAATATATATATATAACAAACTCATTATAGTTGTAACAATTTTTCATAAGCTTTGCTTAGCTAAACAAAATGGCTTTTTTTGTCATTTACAATAATGTTCAATGCTATACTACAACATGTGCACATTTTACTATTTTCATTGTCCTGCACAATTTCAACTTAAGATGGCTGCAATATTTGATTTACAAACAGCAGACGTAACAACATTACTGAGTTATTGTGATGTTAATAATGAAAATAACTGAAGATGAACTGAATTATGAGCCTTTGATGTGGCGGGGTATATACTTTGATTGCAAACAAAATCTTCTTTTTTATTAAATTCGCAATATGGACTAGTGCAATATCCAAATAGTAGTTGGCACAATATTTTGTAATAGCAAAATATGTTCATAAAGTATTTTTTTGTAAATTATAATGTTATATTGTAATTTCCTTTTATATCGCCAATCATATCGCAATTGATCAGTCAAAATGATCTCAAATAGTATTTGTTTCCAAATCGAGCAGCCCTGATAAACACACATGTGAGCTCCAAAGTATTTACAATTTAGTAATTGAATGTATTGTGTTTTAATCCAGATTGTGGAAGCAAGGACTACACAACCTTAAAAGAGAGATTTTCTAAATTCGAGCTGGGTAAGTAGTACACTCTTTGAAACACCATATGCTGGGCTTTTTCCGGCAGTGGCTCAGTCAGTAGAGGCTTGGACTGGGAGCCGTAGGGCTGCTGGTTCAAGTCCCCAAACAGACCTAAAATAGGAGTGTGGTCTGCTACTTGGAGAGGTCCCAGTTCACCTCCTGGGCCCTGCCGTGGTGCCTTTGAGCAAGGCATCGGAGAGAAAGAACAGAGAGGAACCTTGGGTAAAAAAAAAGGTGAGTTTATAAAAACAAATGGTTTCACTCGATCAGTTATATTTGTTTTTTCTGCATATGCTCTTCTCTTTTTAGCTTTAAACTATGACTTTGTCCGGAGAGTTGGTCAGAAATACTTTGTGTCCTACAAGAAGAGAGACTCTTTCTCCACCGCCGTCGAGTTCTGCACACAACAAGGCTTGGAGCTGGCTTTGCCCCAGAACGAGGAGGAGAACAGCAAACTGACTCAAGTGTTTGGGGTACATTTAAAAAAAGCTTGGATCAACGTCAACAATAACAAAGTAGAGGGGAATTTACTGACTGATATGAAGAACCTACCTCTGACCTTTACCAAGTGGGGAGAAGGGCAGCCAGACAAATCCATCCAGGGTACAGGCTGCACCATGCTGTCAGAAAATGGTGTCTGGCAAGTGACAAGCGAATGCTTTCAGAATAATTACATCATATGTCAGATATGAAAAGGTCACACTGCAATTTACATTTTCTTCTGTATGTTTTATGTTGGTAGAAAGTACTATATTACTGTCTGAAATGGAAGAAGTTGGCAAAAAAGTATGCCTTTTGCATTCTCCCATTAATATCTGTGAACTAATCAATCAAAATGTAAACTGCTTCAATGATTCAGATTAGGACAAACTGCTTTTAGACAGTTTTACTTTCATGTGTAATTGTTTCATAAACCATGCTTGTGATATGTCAATCTCATTAAAAGTGTTTCACTGCTTCAGCATCATAGCATTATTGTCGCACATGTTTTCCTATATGAAAGTAAACAATATATGAAATATCATTCAAGTAAATAAAAACAAATATATATATTCGTAAAGCATATGCCCCAGTAAAAGTATACAGCAGTGAGGTTCATTCATTCATTTTAGCATGCTAAGCATCTTTTTAAATGTTTTAGCATGTTTTAGCAATAGTGAGTGTGCAGTCCATTGAAAGAGAATGATGTCCTTAGTACTGTAGCTTTGCAGTGTATGTATACTTTGTTTGTCGGTAAAGAAATTCTAATATTACTCAATACCACCTGCTGATAAAAGTGAAGGGGTTACCCTCTGAACTAGCAGCAACAACAATGGCTCAATCCTAAACTGGACTGACAAGCTGCTCCTGAGTTTTTTGCAGCCTCCACCCACCCATTGTCTGTGGACTGATTTTGTCACTGAGATAGCAAAGATCCAGTCACCAAACTTTAAATATGTGTACTTGAGTCTTTTAATGCAACATGGCCACCTAAAATCACAGCTCAGGGTGCAAAGTCGATGCAATTCTTATGTTATCTCATTGAAACAAAGTTAAGTTATGTATCTTATTACTACACTGTCATTATTGGGTTAAAAAAAGAGGGAGGATCTTGGGCTGATAAACTTCCTCTATTCTAAGAAAAATCCCAAACTTTGCATCTGTTGTTACATCAGACCAGATCACTCATACATGAACATTTTTTCTTTGGAAGTAGAGAGGAAGCAGCACACAGCAGATCACTCTCATTTATACGGTGAGTTATGCTCTGCTTATCACTATTTATTACTTGATTGTGTTATTAAGTCCTTTTAAACAACTTTTAATGTTTCGCTAATTACATTTAGCCTGTTTTGGTAGTATACCTCTGTTTGGAATATTTCCAGAACCCACATCTATGAGTGCATGGAAAATACCAATTTACATTCAGCTACGAACTATTGGTTCTAAATTATGATACACATATTTCTAGTGAAGCTCTATAATAGAAAATGCTCAACTATATTTAATATACATTTCAGTTCTACACTGAGAAGATCAAGATGTGGCCCCTATTCGGCGTTGTCTGCCTGTATAATTTTATTGGCAGCAATATTATTAATGGGCAGACATGTTCTTGTCTGGATCCTGGGCCACCTGGTCTTGATGGGCCACCTGGTCTTGATGGGCCTCCTGGTCTTGATGGGCTATCTGGTGGTCCAAGTGGCCCACGTGGCCCACCTGGTTTCCCTGGGGCACCTGGGGAACCTGGTGCTGGTCCTCCTGGTCAAAAAGGTGGGTATTTTCAATTTCAGCAGAGTAGTGTTCTGAAGAGTTTTATTTCTGACCAAACTAAGACCATGCTTTTTGTCTGAATTTTGTTACATTGCCACGGGCAGTACGAGAAAAATAAAGACCTTTTTGAACATTAAAGCATGTAAACGTGTCCGAGTAGAAGCACAATATACAAATGTGAACCTTAAACGTATCATAACATGTCCTCTTTAAGGCCTACTGTTACATCTATTGTGCTTGAATGGTTGGAATGCCTTTGATCGATATTGAGCTTGCTTCCCCCTAACTCCTGACCCATTAAGGTGTCCCCTAAATTCTCACTGTTGTGCCTCTCGTGCCAAGATGTTGAATTACACACTTCATAATGTATTCATTATTAATTAACTAATAAGAAACATTGAGCATTCCCTGAGAAGGAGAATTGAGGTATTTTGTTCTCGCTCTACAGGAAGTGTGGGTCCTAAAGGAGATCGTGGACCAGATGGAGGACCTGAAGTTTGCCAGGGTAAGATATTATACAATATATATATATATAACAAAACTCATTATAGTTGTAAAAAAAATTCATAAGCTTTGCTAAGCTAAACAAAATGGCTGTTTGTCATTTACAATAGAGTGTTCAACGCTATACTTCAACATGTGCACATTTGACTGTTTTCATTGTAACATATCGCAATTGATCAGTCAAAATGATCTCAAATAGTTATTTTTTCCAAATCGAGCAGCCCTGATATAATCACATGTGAGCTCCAAAGTATTTACAATTTAGTAATTTAATTTAATGTGTTTATTCCAGATTGTGATGACTACACAACCTTAACAGAGAGATTTTCTAAGTTCTTGCTGGGTAAGTACCCTCTTTGAAACACCATATGCCGGGCTTTTTGTAAAGTGTCTGACGTTAGCTGTTTTAAAACTCAACTGCCTTACTGTGCTCAAAGAGCTAAAATAGGGAAAACAGTGGAATAAAAAAAACACTAGATCACGTAAACACTAGACTATTTTAATTTTTTTTTGGCATTAACAAAATTAAATGTCCTGTTTGGGGTTCCTGTTCACCAAGCTGCCAACCATACGGGGAAATAAAACATTATAAGAGAACTGAGTAAATTAAAGCTTTTTTAATGTAGACATTAAGAGGAATGTAATTTGTCTGAATCAGGAGGTAAAAGAGTAAAAAGGTTTTACTGTCAGAAAAAGAACAGAGAGGAACTTGAGATTCAAAAAAACATTTTGAGTTTGTAAAAACAGTTATATTTGTTTTTTTCTGAAAATACGCTCTTCTCTTTTTAGCTATAAACTACGACTTTGTCCGGACAGTTGGTCAGAAATTATTTGTGTCCTACAAGGAGAGAGATTTTTTCTCCACTGCCGTCGAGTTCTGCACACAACAAGGCATGGAGCTGGCTTTGCCCCAGAACGAGGAGGAGAACAGCAAACTGACTCAGATCTTTGGGGACATTTACAAAGAAGCCTGGATCAACGTCAACAATAACAAAGCGAAGGGGAATTTTCAAACCGATATGAAGAACCAAGCTCTGACCTTTACCAAGTGGGGGAATGGGCAGCCAGACAAATCCATCCAGGGTACCGGCTGCACAAGGTTGACAGAAAATGGCTTCTGGGAAGTGACAACTGAATGCACCAACAATGGTTACATAATTTGTCAGTTATAAAATGTAAATGAAAAAAATATGTATTCGCTCATGCTTATATCCAACACAAATAAATAAATATTCACCTTAAAGGTATGTGTAAGCATCTGATGGCCAACATCACACAAAGATATCAAACCCAGACAAGTTCTTAAAACCTTTGCCAAGTGACCTCTGATTAAAACGTATCATTTAAAACAGAATGAATCGAAGAACATAGACGAGCCTAGGCCACACTGTTTAATACATTAACATTAACTTACCAGTGTGTGCCTTTAACAAACGTCATTATTCAGGAAAATTCACAATATGGTATAGTTGTATTAGTATTCATGTGTTAATAAGACCACTTTTCAAATAAATTCAGTCAATTAAAGTTGGAAAAACGTTCTAACATATCTCAGTTGACAAGAAAAAAGCCCAATGACCGGTTTACATCACAAGCTTGAAATACACCCTTTCTATTTCTCCTTATTATAATCAAGGTGAGGCTTCTGTTTTAAGGGATGAGATGCCAACAGTCACAAGCATCATTTACCTACCTACAGACAGTGGCAGAACTTCAGTGTTAGTATTATTAGATCTCAGTGCTGCGTTTGACACTGTTGACCACAGCATATTACTAGACCGACTGGAAAACTGGGTGGGACTTTCAGAAACAGTTCTAAATTGGTTTGAATCCTACTTAAAGGACAGAAACAACTTTGTTTCTATAGGTAAATACACATCTGAGTTGACAAATATGACATGTGGGGTACCTCAAGGCTCCATCTTGGGGCCTCTTCTCTTTAACGTCTACATGCTACCACTGGCTCAGATAATGAAGAACAACAAAATAAGTTACCATAGCTATGCAGATGACACACAAATGTACGTAACAATTTCACCAGGAGACTATGCTCCAATTCAAACACTGAGTAAGTGCATTGAACAAATCAATGACTGGATGTGTCAGAACTTTCTCCAATTAAACAAAGATAAAACTGAGGTAATGGTTTTTGGAGCCAAGTCAGAACGTATAAAAGTTAGCGCTGAGCTTCAGCCTGCAATGTTCAAAACAACAGATAAAGCCAGCTGTAGTCATGGACTCTGACCTGAGTTTCAACAGTCACATTAAAACAGTTACTAAATCAGCCTACTATCACCTAAAGAATATATCTAGGATTAAAAGACTAATGTCACAGCAGGATTTGGAAAAACTTGTTCATGCTTTTATTTTCAGTAGACTGGACTACTGTAATGGTGTCTTTACAGGTCTCACTAAAAAATCTATTAGAAAGCTGCAGCTGATTCAGAACGCTGCTGCTCGAGTCCTCACTAACACTAAGAAAGTGGATCACATCACTCCTGTTCTGAAGTCTTTACACTGGCTTCCTATGTGTCAAAGAATAGATTTCAAAAATACTGCTGCTGGTTTATAAAGCTTTGAATGGTTTAGGCCCAAAATACATTTCTGACCTCCTGCTAAATTATGAACCATCCAGATCTCTCAGGTCTTCAGGGACTGGTCAGCTTTCTGTCCCCAGAGTCAGAACTAAACATGGTAAAGCAGCGTTCAGTTATTATGCTACAATATCTGAAACAAACTCCCAGAAACCTGCAGGTCCGCTGCAACTCTGACTACTTTTAAATCCAGGCTGAAGACTTTTCTTTGTGTCGCTGCTTTTAATTGAACTATTCACATCTTAAACTGCACTGTAACTTTTATCCATGTATTTTTTCTTTTAAAGGTGGAGTAGGTACGTTTCAGAAACCGGCTCGAGATACACTTTTTGTTATATTCCAAGGAATGCTCTTAATATCCCGATAGCAGTGAATATCTGAAGTGCTTTGACAAAAAATCCATTAAAAAATTGTATCTGTGGAAGCCGTAATACTGTAAAAAGCACGACCAATCCGTTTAGGCCGGCTAAACGGATTGGATTGCCGCCCTGTCTGTCAGCCTTCCATCTCGTGCACGCACAAATGTATCTCGTGCCCTCATTGGGCGTGCCGTAATTGGGCGTGCATTGCAGCAGTACTTCAATGACTCGCCAGCAACAGACGGCCACTTTCACCAATCTGCTGACGTCATGTGCGCGTTCATGTGTGTTGGAGGAGGTGCTCTGTAAGGAAGTCTGAAGGAAGGGGCGGATTCTTTTCGGCTGTGTACTTTCAAATTTTAGTGCACTCGAGCCGGTTAGCTTTTCTTTTTAATGACTGATTTTAAATGCCATTTTCTTAATGTGTTTTATTTTTTGTAAAGCACTTTGAATGGCCTTGTGTTGAAAAGTGCTATATAAATAAACTTGCCTTGCCTTGCCTTACATTTGATTGATTTTCCTAATTTATAACTGAACTTAGTGAGCTGCCCAGCCCTTCATATGGTGAAAAAAGTTTGGACACCCCTGTTCTAGATTTAAAACATCCCATATGAAGTCCTTAAACAAAAAAGGTGAGTCTGTTTCTGATTACCTTTTGACCTCATGTCTGTGGCATAACCGTACACCCATTTGTTCTAAGGTAAGGTCTTTAAAAAGTTAAGTATAGCTAAAATAGCTAAAACAGCTGTTAGCCGTGTAATTTACTCAAGTAGGAGTAAATTGTGTATTTGTTAGGGACTATTTCCTGCTGCGGATTCAGGGTGTTGGAGGGTATTTGCTAAGGCTAAAATAAACTACACTGAACAAAAATATGCAAACGCAACACTTTTGTTTTTGCTCCCATTTTTTACGAGATGAACTCAAAGATCTAAAACATTTTCTATATACACAAAATAACCATTTCTTTCAAATATTGTCCAAAAATCTCAAAAAATCTGTGATAATGAGCACTTCTCCTTTGCCGAGATAATCCATCCCACCTCACAGGTGTGGCATATCAAGATGCTGATTAGACAGCATGATTATTGCACAGGTGTGCCTTAGAATGGCCACAATAAAAGGCCACTCTGAAATGTGCATTTTTGCTTTATTGGTGCGGTCTGGGGGGGTCCGAAAACCAGGCAGTATCTGGTGTGAGGGGTAGGGGTAGGGGTAGGGGTAGGGTTAGGGTTAGGGTTAGGGTTAGGGTAATGTTGTGAATCGAGTGGCCTGTGTTTGTCGTCCATTACATACGCCTGCCCATACCATAATCCCACCACCACCATGGGCCACTCAATTCACAACATTGATCTTTGAGTTCATCTCGTGAAAAATGGGAGCAAAAACAAAAGTGTTGCATTTATATTTTTGTTCAGTGTATGTTTAAGCAAACTCATATCTGGACACTGGGAACACAGGTTACTTCAGTGTGCAGGTGTGCTTTATATGAGAGGCCCCGTCTTACATTTTCCGCCACAGATTTGGGGAAATTGGTCCGTGCGCAAAGCATTGTGGGGATTTAAGACCGCGGAGTCTACACATGTGCAGCCTCGAAATTTCTCCTAACGAAATACGCCAGGCTCGGTAGATTTCCAAGTGTTAGAAATTAAAATCAATGTTTTATGGCATAATGTACCTTAAACATAACGTCAGTTTAAATGCTATTTTATTCTGGAAAAAAACGGAAGTTCTCAATACCAAGATTTTATTCTGAAAATCCTTCATGACGACATCCGGGACTACCGTCCATTAGTATCATTAAAGTGGCTATTGACGCCGTTAACATGTATTACATATACAGTTATGAAAGAGATAAGGAGGAGAAAAGGCATGTGGAAGTAAGCAATGAATGTCGAAATCCTCTGTTTAACGCGATATCGGACACAGAAGAACGAGGGGGGAAGTCCCCTACGTCACTACAGCTCACAGAGAGGAGGAGCGAACAGCCAGCAAGCGGGAAAGACGAAGGCTTGTGTTGTCTCTTCTGCACGGCCAGCACCTGGGAGAGGAAGCTGCAGCCTTTCTCTCCTGACTGAACAATATCCTGTTTGTAACATTACCGCACTTTTTATTAATTAAAGTACCAATTTTGAACCTTCTCAAAGACTCCATTTAGTCTCCTTTTTAAGCTTCTCTCCTGGACGCGAGAAAAACGATCACGGTTTACACAAGTATGCTGGAGATTGGAACAGTACTTCGCCGGCACTCGATGACGTAGTATGCTTGAAATAGTGGCTCTGCAGCAGCTTTACTCGCGATTGAGAAACACCCAGGGTCCTTCTCACTTCGTTTAAATGGATTCCTTGCATCCCTCACTTGCGTCGTTTCCCTGCGACTAGTCCCTCCCACCAGGGAAGCATGGAGAGACGCAAGGAAACCACGAGAAGCAAGGACATGAGTTTTAAGAGCAATGGGACGTCCTTTCCTCGCGTCACGTGAAGCGAGGTCTGTTTGTGATGACGCCGCACAGCTGATCGTCTGACAGCAGCTCTGTCCCAGTTATTTTCACAAACACCCCTGTCACACATTTACTGACACAAACATTTGTGTCATCTGTTAAATAAAATCAAATAAGAACTCATTCTCAAAAAAGATAAACGCCATTCTTAAAATGTATAAACGAACATTAGTTGGATTAATATTGATTAGATTGCACAATAGAAATAAAATAATTGAGAGAAGAAAAAGAGATATGTTATCTATCAAAACCCAGTTAGATTAACATTCATTGGATTGCACACTTTGTTTGTTTGGATATGTAGCAAATTAACATTTTAAATAGCACTTAATGACTGACTGAATGGAAATGACAATAATTGAAAATGAAAAAAGCGATCATGAAAATGTTTCCAAAAAATGAATAAAATGATTTTTGACCACTTTGTTGTTCAGATATATCCCATATTTGTAACTAAATTATACATTAATTGAAACAAAACACGGTATAAACTGAGTGAGTCCCGTGAGGTTCATGTATTTTCTTCACTCCTCTGGGAAACTGCTCTCATGTCAAGAAGCATCAGATCAGTGCATGCGCTGCATCGTCCAATCAGTGAGCGATACACAGTAAGGGGGCGGGGCGAGTATCTGAGGATTTCATCGAAGGATGGTCTGGTGGTTCCTCGATTATAGCTCCTCTATTATCGCTCCTCGGTTCTCCGGCAAAAATAAGGCCATTGGGACGCTACTCAAGATGGCGCAGACAAATCAACTTCCGGTGAGACCGAGAAGCGAGGAAATGAAAAATAAGAGAAG